CCTTCTGAGTCTCTTGTGCTTTTAATATGATGATCTTCAGTTCTGTTTTCCTGAAAATGACATGGTTTTTAATCTTTATAGCTCAACAGAATTCCATCGGGTATGTATATGTGTAATATTTACTTTATCAGTTTATGTTAATGGATGTCTAAGCCACTCCTGTGCTTTGGCCTTTGTGTACAGAGATGCTGTACAGGTATTTCCTTGTTTGCTGACTTCAGTCCCTTTGGGTTTATATTCAGGAATGATAGCCTGGATCATGAGTTAGCTTTGATTTCCTGGCTTTCTCTTTCTTCCTTTCTTTCTTTTATAGCTCTTCATTTGGAGTAATGGGACTACTAAAATCTATGCTCTTTGAAAAAAATCAAGTATGTGACACATTATTGTCACATGGGCCCCATGCACTAGGCTTCCAGAACTTACTCACTTCATGATCAGAAATGTGTTCTCTTTAATCAACATCTATGTTTTTTCTCTACCCATAACCTGTGGTAACTATCTTCTACTTTGTTTTTCTTTTCCTTTAAAAAGAAACCTTTTATTGGTTGTTTGTGAGTTTCACATTGTGCACCCCAGTCCCACTCATCTCCCCTTCCCCTTGTACCTGTCCTCCACCCTTGCAACCTTCCTACTAGCAGAGAAAAAAACAATTTCATTGTGGAAGTTGTAGTGTGCCACAGTGTGTCCCACAGCCTACCCATTTGTCCCCACGTCTTTGCTTGCAAATGTTCATTGCAATAGCTCATTGGTCTGATAAGAGGACTCTGACCAGTTCTGCCACTCTCATGACCCTGGGGCTAGCTCTTTTGCTCGCCATAGAGGGCAAGGGATGAGGGAGAGGAGGAGGGCATTTCTCTCCCTCTCCCACATTGCTCCAAGGCAGACAAGTTGGTGGGCTAGCTCTCCCATGCTCATACACATGGCTGGCTCATGTGTGCCCTGCCAGCTCTACTGTGCTGCCTGGGTGAGGGGCAGGGCTAGCTCTCCTATCTGCCAATGATGGTGATGGCAAAAGGGAGAGGAGCAGATATCTTCCTTGACAATGCCACCACACAGCAGACAAGAGGCAGGGCCAGCTGTCCCACAGGTCTCCCCTCCAGCCAGCTGGCCCACAACCTTTACATCCAGGGTTAACTCTCACGTCAACTATGCTACCCAGGCAACATGCAGGGCCTGCTTTTCCAAGTGCTACAGTAGGCGAGGGGAAGAACCAACTCTCCCCCTCTCATGACTCAGCTTACCTGCAACTCCTGCTGTGTCAAATACTGCTGCTGGCTAAGGACTGAGTCAGCTTTCCTGTAGGGTCAACTATCCCATAATGTACAGGTGAGGAATGGAACCAGTTTTACACAGCTCTCAGACAACATATCTGCAGGCAGCAGCCCAGACCAGGGACATATGCCTGGCCTTTATGCCTGACCTTTGAAGTAACAGATCACTGCTGCTTCAGGGGTACCAACTGAGTTGTGGCCCACAGTGGCAGCATAGGCCAGGACCCACCATGGTCTCAGGTAGCATCACTGAGTACTCACATCAGTGTGTTCCTGACTAGCCTCAAGTCCCCAGTTCTGCCTCTCTTCATTGTGACCATATCTTTCTATTTTCTTTTTCTTTTCTATTTCTGCACCACTTACTTGCTCCTCTTAGTGGTGCCTGGGGTCTCCAAATACCTGAGATAATTTCAGGATTGGTCTCAGGAGTGCTATGCTTGGCTCATGTATTATGGCAGCAGGAAGCGGTCATCTAGGGCATTGTCTGCCCCCAGCCCCAGTCATGCAAGGTCCAGGACTTGCAATCTCAGGCTATCTCCCTGTCTGGGTCCCACAGCACTGGTTGTCTCACGCTTTCAGTGCATGTTAGGCTACTAATTATTCAGATGTTCACAGATCAGAATGCTGACATAGCTTCTCTCTTTCTGTCTCCTCAAGATGCACATGTGATACAACAGTGACACTTGCATTGTTTCTAGGGGCAGAGTACTTTCTGTTTGTTTAAGTTGAACAATTTGTAGTTTCCAGATGCAAGTGAGATCCCACATGTTTCTTTGTCTCTGATTTATTTTTGTTTGGGTTACTGTCTTCCAGGTTCAACTAGACTGCAATAATCAGTGTTTGCTTATTGTTCTTTTAAGCCATAAGTGATTGGAAATTTGTTATGCATCAATATAGAGTAAACACAGAGTTTGGACACTGAGTGCTAACCTAAGTATCAGAGTGGCCATGGAACTAAGATTACACATACATTCAGAGGACTTAAAATTGGTGAAGAAGAAGTAACTTAGTAATATGGCAGCCAGCATCTTGGTGCTCTGTAAGGAACTGCTGGCCAGGCATTATAGGAGGAGAAAGAAAATCCTACTGGGGATTATTTTGCAGCAAGAGATAACTAGCTGGAGTATTCATTCATGTCTCTCCTTGGAATATTTAATTTGGATCCATTGAAGTTATGAAATAGATTTCAGGCATACACAATCTGTGTATATTTGTTGCTTCATCTTTCAACTAGTTATTTTAAAGACTAATTACTTTCACCATGTTACTGGGAGAGACACTCATGCTTGACCACAGAATACTGACGGTTTGGCAAGTATCTGGTCCTTGAGGATTGGTCATAGGTGAGTTAGGATTAAGGATCTCATGTGAGTAACAGGAATAGAGAGATAGTGCAAAGCGATGGGTGATGACGGAACTGAGTGCTAAGAATGTACTTAGAGGCCTAGAATCCCATGTGAGGCAAGTGGCAAACACGTCTAGCATTTACTCAGCACAGAAAACCCTGCAGACCATGTTGAGGTGGCAGCATCACAGAGCCTAAAATCTAGGGCTGATTCTCAACCTTGATCCAAGGTCTTGAAAGGTGTATCTTTGATATTTGACTTGTAAAATGGAGAGAATAACTCCAGCTCATTACAGTATGAGGTGTTATTGTCTTAGTACATGGGAAATAGGTAGGTCCATGCCTAGTTCTTATTAAATACTATGTGCCATCTATTCTTGTTATAAATAACAGAACCTGTTATTCATATATATATATATATGTATATATATATTCATATATATGTATATTCATATCTATCTATCTATCTATATATATATATATATATATATATATATATATATATATATATATAGATATATTTCAGACACAAAACAATGTAATCACCAGAAAAAATAAAAAAAATGGGCTAATTTCATCTTTGATTTTAGTAAACATTATGTATATTCAAGTGACTATTTCACAGTATTTAAGCTTAGAATCTCAATTCAAGAGTAATAATTCTAAAAATGTAAGCAACCAATCAACTGAAAAAAAATATGCTCCTGAGGCTATTGCAGGCATTCATTATTATTTCCTTGAGTGTAGCATTAGTTTAAATATTTCATTGGTTAGTAGAGTAACACAGCACTTAAAGTTCTCATAGCAGCACTTCTAGAACTCCTTGTTGCTGGAATCATTCCTTTGTAACAAAATATGGAGACAAAGAGTAGAGAAGAGACTGAAGGAAAGGCCATTCAGAGACTGCCCCACCTGGGGATCCATCCAGTATGCAGACACCAAACACAGAAACTACTGGTGATGCCAAGAAGTGCTTGATGATAGGAGCCTGATATAGCTGTCTCCTGAGAGGCTCTGCCAGAGCCTGACCAATACAGAGGCAGATGCTTGCAGCCAACCATTGGTCTGAGCATGGAGACCGCAATGGAGGAGTTAGAGAAAGGACTGAAGGAACTGAAGGGATTTGGAACCCCATAGGAAGAACAACAATATCAACCAACCAGACCACCCAGAGTTTTTAGGGACTAAACCACCAACCAAAGAGTACACATGGAGGAACCCATGGCTCCAGCTCCATATGTAGCAGAGGATGGACTTGTTGGGCATCAATGGGAGTAGAGGCCCTTGGTCCTGTGGAGGCTCGATGCCCCAGTGTAGGGGAATTTGAGGATGCTGAGGCAGGAGTGGGCAGAATGGCGGAACACCCTCATAGAAGCAGGAGGAAGGGAGATTGGATAGGGGATTTCGGGGGGACGAAACTGGAAAAGGGGATAACATTTGAAATATAAATAAAGAAAATATCCAATTAAGAATAACATTTTGGGCTTTATGAACTATTGAATTAATTACTATGTTAGCTTATATATGCTAAACATTTAGGGAAACTTTAAGCAGAACTTAATTAGAAACCTAGATGTATTTCAAAGGTGGGATTTAGGTTTTATTTGTATAAACATTAATATGTCTTTCACTTATTCTTCAATATTGGTGTGCCTACTGTGTTCTTCATTACAATACGTCCAGCCAAGTAATGTCATGTTACATTTTCAAGCCTTTGAAAATTCAGTGTTTATTCAGATAATTAGAAAATGTACTATTTTCTTACAGTTTCTTATTCATTGTTATGTGAGAGCTTGCACACATACACATGTCCAAATGTGTGTGTGTGTGTGTGTGTGTGTGTGTGTGTGAAGTTCAGTCATACTCATGCCATGGTATGGAGATCAGAGGGCAACCTCCAGTATCTGTCCCCACTTTCTACCCTTTAGGAGAAGGTGACTGTTGTTCATTGCTGCCCTTCTACCTAGCTGCCCTTTGAGCATTCCATCCCATCTGCTTTTATATGGGTTTTGAGTCTCTGAATGAGAGTCTTCATGGTTGCATATCCAGCAGACTACCAACTGGGTACATACCCAGCCTTCTTCTTAACTCATGTAATCTTAATGATATTCTGTATTTTTTTGAAATAATTTTAGAATCAAACTGGAAATTATAAGGTAATATTCATTCAAGCAGATATAAATTTAATTTCCCATGGACTAATTGAAGTTATTTGAATCTAAATTTATAAGCCTTATGGAGAAAAAAGGTTGAAAATTAAATTACATCTATTTACAAATTTCATATTGAAGTAATTAGATCCGGTACTGTGTTTGAAGTAAGATAATTTTAATATAATAACATTATTCCACTTCTTTTGCATTTAAACTTGACAAAATACTCAGAGGTCACCATCACTGAAACATCGGAAGATGAATGCGAATATGAAGAGGTAACTTGTTAGCTTTACATCTGAGTGGGTTCACTGTAGTCATTCCTATGAATGGTTTGTCTTATTTTCTGCAGCATATAATGACTTTATTTAAGATAAACTAGTTTTTGAACAGAAGTTATCTCTTGGCTGATTATGAGTGAGTTGGGAGAAGGCCTCTTAAGCCTGCACACAGGCAGGGACTGTTTTGGTTCCCCCAGCATCACTCCTTACGCTCAGCTCCTGTGACCTCCCTTGTCTGTGGCACATAGATCACATCCCCACATGGGAACCTTCCCATCATCCACATTATTCGTAGCAGGGATTGCCAGGTTGCCAGCACCATTTGGAACTCAGGCCTCTGCTTTCTTCTATCCTCACTTTAGTTCTGTAAAATATGCTCTTTCCTGTCTCAGCATTTTCCTTTAGTTCCTTGTTCTCATCAAAATCTGCCACTACTTCTGAGACTTGAATATAAAGTCATTTTTAGGTTTCAGAAACTGAACAGAACAGTGTTGAAGAGAGCCTGGCAGCCTGTGGCCTAGATAGGCAAGGGGCTTGTTACTTATACGTACTTAGTTAAACTCTGCAATGAAAAGCTTTACTTTAGAAAGAAATTTTCTGAAATTAAATGTAGATATGTTTCCTTATGTTTCCATATCAGCACTAATTAAAACTGATGTTTTTTTATTTAGTTGTATAATTTATTTCCTCAGTACAAGAGGCTGTGTGAGACCTGCTTAATATTATGCCCTATTTCTTGGGTTTAGATGCATGGTCAACTATAGTGTAAAGATTGGTCTGGAAAACTCTATAAATAAAGATTATGTTTTAAATTACTTTATTGTAGTCTGTTGTTATGATTGTTATGTTACTATTATCATCATTACTGATTTCTTATTGTGCTTAGATTATAAATGAAAGTTTATTATATATTTATATGGAAACAATAGTATACTGAAGGTTGGGAATTAAACATGGTTTGAAGTACTACAGGATGACTGAGAATGCATTCCTCATATAAGCTGGGGACTGCTCTGTGGTACTTGACATCTCTGCCCATTCTTCCTGCTCCTGTCTAGATACCAGATGACAATTTCAGCATTCCGGAGGGAGAAGAAGATCTGGCAAAGGCAATTCACATGGTTGGAGAGCAGGCCACAGACCTCCACATTTTGGTGAGAATTTGAATACTACTCTAGCTCGTAATTCAAAGTGAATACATTTACATAAAGCTTTGAGAGGAGCAACTTCAAATTATTAAACAAAATGCTATCGTCTGAAGTATCTTTTCTTTTTTATTAATTTTCATAACACTGCCACCTAAAGTAAGCTTTATTTATTCTTTGCAACATCTACAAACAATGTCTACTCTTATGAGTTTTCAACAACTAATACCTTTCCTGAGAACTGATTAATCCAATAAGAGATTAAACCAAAATTATTCAACACTGATGTTGAATGTATCAACTACAGATTATTATGTAGTAGGCTTTATATGAATTTTGTGTCTTTCTTTGCCAAGAAGTATCAAGAATATATGAAATGTTTTACATTTCATGACACTATCTTTTTTGGGACTTTAATTTGTTAAGAGTAAAATAAGAAATTATGTGTGATTATAATATGAAATACAGCAAATAAGACTCTTGATGTTTTTATAACATTCAAAAGAATATTTAAAAAATTGACCATAATTTAGTTAGCCTGGAAAACACTTCACAATTTCATAGTAATATTAATTTAAAAGGATGCAAGTTTGGGTTCTTCAGTGCAAGATGGTCTGTTAAACTTTGTTCTTCTTATATAAATTTTATCTTCTTTATATTTAGTAGACTTCTATTCTAGAAATATATTCAATTTTCCAATACTCTATATACATAACAATTAAAAGTAGATTTAAAAGAAAGAATCTGTGTGTCCACAATTTATTATATCCTGTTATGATTGCAGTGATGTAACTCATAGTGAAGAATTTTGTAATGAAACCAGTGGATAAGTTCCTTCTAGGAGGATAAGACATGGGTTTCCTATCCTATTAGTCTGTTGGGTGTATCAATGTTATGAATTATCAGAAAAAAAAATAAAACACAACCTTTTGATGAAGTAAACGTCATGTTTAGCCACTGGTGACCTTACCTCTTAATTTACCATTTCATTAATAAGGACCATGGATTGAACTCTGAATAAAATATATGTGTTTTATATTTAAAGTGATTTTTAAAAGCATGGAAATATAGATAATGCCATTGATTTATTAATTATACTTTATACTACAGTCTTTTCCAAGTGCTGATATAAGTAGTTAGGAATATATGTGCATATGGTTATATGTAGGCATGAATGCATGTATATCTCTGTATGTATTTCTTAGAGATGGTCAGTATATAATTTTATAAAAGGAAAGGCTTACTTAGAATTTAGTTGAATTTCCTTATCTAAAGTTTCTTGTAAGTATAGTATCTTTTTTTTACAAACTTTGATTCTTGTTTATTTTACTATCTTTTGTAGTAACAACATATCTAATGATTTCCAATTTTTATTAGAATTTTTATTTTTAAATATTAGAATAAAATTATGTTTAAATTTCTGACAGTTTGGCCTTCTTTACTTCTTTATCACCTTCTCTAAGACATTCAGAAGAATAAAGCCATTTCTTGAGAATGTTTATGCCCTTTTTGAGAAGTCTAAGTGGTGACTGGCCCATGTTACAGCATTGTATTCACATCTGTTCCCAGAGCATGATGGACCTTAAGTGCCACTCTTCTCACTCATAGTTTTATTCTGTTTTGGAAAGTGTGTTATTTTTCACAGGATCTGTATGTTAGTATATAAAAGCTTTATTGTTTGCTGGGGGAGATAGAGGCAGGTAGGTGGGTCTCTGTCAGTTCGAGGTCAGCCTGCTTTCATAGTGAGTTCCAGGACAGCCAGGGCTACAGAATAAACCCTGTTTGAAACTCCCCACCAAAGTTTTAGTGTAGTCAATTATGGTGAGATACTGTGGTAGTATATGTTGTAGGGGCAGAAGCAGGAGGCAGTAGGCGGGAGGCAGGAGGAGGGAGACAGGAGGAGGCAGGAGGCTGGAGGCAGAGACAGAGGCAGAGGCAGTATCCTGAGTTCGAGGCTAGCTAGGCTACACTATAAATGAAATTTTATTGTAATTATTTTAAGAGAAATAAGGATGTATTTCAGAATTTAAATTTTCATATGATAAATCTTTAATGTTATAGCTCATTTAAACAATCTGTCTGGAGTCCTCAATAATTTCGAAGAGTTTAATAGTATTCTAAATAAAAAAGTATGAAAAGCCTCATGGGCATTTTTAGAAACTACAGAGAATACACTCCCTTTTAGTCTGTGGTTCTATTTCTCTTCTTTCAGTTTTCCTAATTCTTTCTCTCATGTATCTTATATAAAATGACTGTTCACATTTATTGAAAAATTATACTCTAAAATATTTTTCAATTACTTTAAGAATTAGCATCAGAAAAAGTGATACTTTAGTATACTGAGAATTAAACCTAAGGCTTTGTGTTTGCTATGCCCCAGCCTCATGTCAAAATTTTTGTGCTAAAATGTGGTGTTATAAAAATTATAGTCATGAATTAGTGATTTTATTTAATTGAGAAGTTGATCTCATGAGAGATCAGTATTTTCAATCTTATCATATTAAATATGTGAAACAATTTTATTAGTTACAGACTCAATGATTAAGTCACACTGAAAATATTTGCTATTGAGCTCATTTGTTCTTGATGTATACATTTAACTTGGGTTAAATAACAAGAAACCGTATGTCCAAAGTCTGGACCATGGCTTATCTATGCCAGTATAGTTGACTTTATATGAATTAAGGAGTTGATGGGGTGAAAGCCCAAATAAAGTGAGTTTTATATTTTAAGACTGTTTGTGTTGTAATTAACTTTCTTTACTCACTAGTAAATGTTAGTTTTTAAACTTATTGACTCTACATCATTTAAAGATACATCAGCATACTTAGTTTTAATACATGACTCAGTGCTTCTCTGCAATTCAATAGCTGAGCTTTTAGGTCCTGTAAAGTTTTTACACTGGATAATCTTTTATACCCTTCTTCTTGCCCACTTAGGATATCTTAGGTCAATATTCTGTCTCCTTTTCTCAAATTACTACCTGCTGCTCATTCCAACCTTCCTTTAGTTTCCATCTAAAAATATTTCCAAATGAAAATCTCAAGTTTATCTGTTGTTAAAGTCTTCATTTTTTCTAGCCTTTCACCTACCCTTTGGCATGCTTCCAGGCTAGTTTTCCAAGCATGTCTAAGTCTAACTTAGTTTTCAGTAGCTTTTGGGTCCATGTGAATAGACTAATGATGTATAGCAGCCCCCTAGGCATTTTTAGAAACTTCAGAGAATTTTCTCCCTTTTACTCTGTTTTTCTTCTTGTTTTCCCAATTCTCATCCTTCTTGTATAGAAATGACTTTTCACATTTGTTGAACAAAAAGTTGAATAAAGCATTTATTATTATATAATGAGTGGATATTTTTAGAAATAATACTGATCCCTATCCTAGTAGTTATACAGTTTTTCTGTTCTAGTTATTATTATAACTACTAAGACATGACCCCAGTCACATGGTCCTTAGTTTCTTCAGCAATCCTCAAGGATATTAATTATGAGAGTTTAGATAGTTTTGTGTACTCTTTAAAAAATAGATTTAGAAAGGATACACCAAATTATTGGTCTCTAATTAATCAATTAAACTGTATACATTTATAACAATTTACTTTGAAATAATGTATTTTTTAATTATATGTAAGGGATTGTGTCTGTGTGGGTATGTGCACATGAGTGCAGGTACCTGCTGAGGCCAGAAGAGGGCATGCAACCTTTGAGCTTGAGTTACAGGTAGTAACCTCTCCACATGGGTGCTGGGAACTGAACATGGGTCCTCTGGTGGAGCATTCCCTACCCCATTTCTTTAGCAATTGTCAATGTGTGTGTGTGTGTGTGTGTGTGTGTGTGTGTTTCAAATTTTACTCCACCTTGCCACTTCTTTTAGTGTCAAAGCAACTACTGGGAATGAGCATCTTTCTTCAATTTTGCACAAGGCTTTTAAAGGAACAGTTTAGAGCGTATGGTGATCCTTTTGCCCTGGATGCATTTCTTTATTAATATCCTTTACATTCTATGTAGCATTTCCAGCTAAGAAAGAGAAATAGGAAATAAATATACTACTGAGTTTTTTGTAGACCTCCTTTCCCAACAATCAGCAAATGAACTAATGATTTCTGAATAATGACTTTAAGATGGTGGTGGGTTGTAGCTTTCTTGTCACTGTGACAGAATGCTTGTTGCAAATAACAAGTGAGAAAACTTTCTTTTGCTTAGCATTTTAGAGGTGTCAAATATGGAAGGGAAGGCATGGTGGAGCAGCTCACATGATAGTGGGAAGGAAGCAGAGTTAGAGTGGAACCCTACTTGCAAGGGGCTAGGCCAAGATAAAGCCCTCTAGGACATGCTTCTGATCATCTCTGGCTTTTATTCAGATCCCTGCTTCCAAAGTACCATACCCTCTCAACAGTCTACTCATCCATCTTATATAGCTTTATTCTGTATGTGAATAAACCATTCATTAGAGCAGAGACCTCATAATTTTACTGTCTCTGGAAACATCCTCACAAATATTACTTATCTCCTAGACCCTTTTCATTCTAACAAAGTAGACAATCAAGCTTAACAGTCCCTCAACCCCAATGTAGTTTTATATGCTTTTAATGTAATTTTATTCATTATTTATTAAATATCTCCATATTTCTCATAAAGGTATTGAAATGTGTTCTGTCACAATACTATTGTGGGTCTGGATACCTTAAATATCAGTAGCAACTCTTCAGCTGTCCCATGCAGCCTGAATGTTATCATGGCTGACTAATGGCCAGTGGTTATATTTAAGCCTCTATGGAGGTGGTGGATTTAGTCACTTCCATTATGATGGAATCTTAGTACATACTCCTTCCATCAAATGCTAATCCTGCTGTGGTATTTCGAAAACACAAGGTACCAAAATTGTTATATTATTTAGTAATATTTGAAAGAGTCAACAGGTCTCTTCATTTCTTTTTTCTTTGTTATTCAGTTTGCTCTATTGTATGTACTAAAAGGGAGACCTTACCTCTGTATAGTCCTTCAGAGGACCTAATCTTACTCTTGCCTTAGAACCTTTGTAATTGCTGATGCTGTTTCTGGCTGTGGTCTTGGATTGTGTTCAGATATTCCTTAATTCAGTGTTGATCATAGTTCAGAAGGACACATTCCCGACTGGTAAAATCTTGAAAGCTCAAATCCCCAAGACCAGTTTCTGTTGAAAAAAAAAAAAAAGGCTCTATAACAAGGATGGAAAGTTAACTTCTGAGGATGGAATTAGTGATCTTTGGTTATTCAAAGGATACTTGCTGTCTTGGTGTTACTATTGCTGTGATAAAACACTGACAAAAGCAAATTTGGGAGAAAATTAATTTTAGCTTACAGTTCCACATCACAGTCCATCACTAAGGTAAGTAAGGATAGGAACTCAAGCAGGATAAGAACGTAGAGGCAGGAGCTGACACAGAGGCTGTGGAGGAGTCCTGCTTACTGGCTTGCTCTTCATGGCTTGCTCAGCCTGCATTCTTATAGTATCCAGGACCACCATCCCAGGAGTAGCACCACCTACAGTGAGTTCTGAGTACTCAATGGCTTTTTTTTCCCTGAATGTTTATTTTTCTTTCATACAATGCATCCAGACTGAACTTTCTCTTCCTCCACTCCTCTCAGTACCCCCACCTTCTCTTTTCCCCAGATCCACCTCCCACCCCGACTCCCAATCCAGATTCCTGATCCCCTTCTCCCCCTAAAAATGAGCAGGCCTCCCAGGGACATCAAAGGAACACAGCACAAGATACAGTAAGGCCAAGAACAAATTCTCATATCAAGGAAGGGCGAGGCAACCCAGTAGAATAAAAAGAGTCCCAAAAGCAGGCAAAAGAGTGAGAAACATCTCATTCCCACTGTCAGGAGTCCCCCAAAACACCAAGCCAACAGGCACAGCATGTATGCAGAGGGACTAGGTCAGATTCTCACAGACTCTGTAATTACTGCTTGAGTTTCTGTGAACCCCTGTGAGCCCCGCTTAGTTAAGTCTGAGTTCTTCTGGTTAACCTTTTGATGAAAAGCCATTTCCTGCTTGTTAGTCCTCATCTTCTTTCTTCTCTGAAGCCCTCTCAATGGCTTTTCTAATCCAAAGTTTAAATGCTACCAGTACCCGTCCCCCAAATAGTCTGTTTTGTCAGTGCATTTTCCTGCTCCCAGTGCCAATCTCTGTTTTATTTATGGAGTCTGTTGCTGTGATGAAACATGATGGCCAAAGACTCTTGAGAAGGAAAGGGTTTATTTAATCTAACAGCTTGTATTTCATCATCCAGGAAAGTTAAGACAGTGACTTGAGACAGGACGTTGGAAGCAGAAGTTGATGCAGAAGCCATGAAGAATGCTGTTTACTAGCTTGCCTAACCTGATTTCTTATACCATCTAGGACCACCCACACAAAGTGGTGCCACCCTTGTCACCTAAACAGACCCACATCAATTATTAATCAAGAAAATGTCCCATAGTTTTGCCCTCTGGCCAGTCTGGTAGGGGTATTTTTCTGGATTGATGTTATCTCTTCCCAAATGATCCTAGCCTGTGTCAGGTTGACATAAAAACCAACAAGCACAGTTGCCCAAGTAGCTAATAATCATGTACTAATTCTGTCCCTTCATATATCACTCCATGTATCCTTCAGGTTAGCAGCTTTCTGAATATAAGATGCTGTAGTAGTGGAAATTGGTCCAGCATCACCCAATGGTGAACTCTTCTTTAGGATTTCATTGCTGAGGAACATCTATGCTCATTTCCTGCTAAGTGAGACAGAGCTAGTGCATGATTCACTTTGGTTAGTGCATAGTACTTTAAGAACTGTCAGTACTTTTAAAGTTTTTATTTTTAAGAATTATTTATTTACAATATATAAGAACATTGTAGCTGTCCTCAGACACACCAGAAGAGGACATCAGGTTACAGATGGTTGTAAGCCACCATGTGGTTGCTGAGAATTGAACTCAGAACCTTTGGAAGAACAGTCAGTGCTCTTAACCACTGAGTCAGCTCTACAGCCCCTATTTTTATTTTTAATTCAGCTATATACAATTCGTGCTCCTGCTGTGTTCTAAAATTCTAGAACACATCCATTTATTTCTGTATTAGTAACTGAAGAAATGAAGCATTTCAAAAATTATTTATAGACTGTGAAGTTTGTAAAATAAAATGGATTCAAATAGAATCACCAAGTCATAACAAAAGATTTAAAATTAGGGAACCAAGGTCTCTAAGAACAAACTTTAAGAAGTCATCACCATTGGTTCTTTTGGGTTTGGGGTTGTGGTTTTTTTTTTTTTTTACCTCTTCAGCCCAGCATGTTTCCAGAAATGTTGATGGGTGGATTGGCTACATGATATGGTAACAAGGAAACTTTCATTTAAAAATGGGTCCTTTGTTTGTGTTGGCCCTCCTTCCTGATGATGAATTCCTAGGTATGCATAATTGAAGAAGCCAGCCTAGTTACTGCTTGGTTTGAAAATGTTTGTGTGAATGGCACCACATGAAGGCACTCACACAGTGGTTTTGCAGTCAGCCAGTCATTAATGGTGTTTCTGCTGGGCCTGTGGTTTGGTTGTGTGTGTGTGTTGAGTGGATTTCCAGTGTCTACACAGCATGGAAGCATTGCTTCAGAGATACACAAATGGGGTAGTGGATACACATCTTGGAACACAATGAATTTTAAAAAATTTTCAAAAGAGCAAAGCTGTATGGAAGATGAATGTGAATGTGTTCTCTGAGGAGTCGTGTCCTGAAGGAGGGAAAGCTGTTATTTAAAGTGTTGCAAGATCTCAACATAAAGTTAATGTTTACAGATGTATGACCACTCTAAAGGACTGCACATTTATAATCACCCAAATCTTCTCTTCTAATAAACCTTTTTATATCTTGAAGTTGTGATTAGTCTTTTCATTTAACCAATTTTTAATTGTTATATTTTATAATCCACTCTCCACTGTATCTCATGATCACCCAATTTCCACTGTTGGGGGTATAAAATGTTTTAAATCTTTATGTATTTTTTAAAAAAATATCAGATTGCAAAAATGTGTTTTGTCGAACATTGATGTTTTGAATGTGAACACTGTACCCAGAGCTCTGAAACCTTCTCAGTAAATGAAGGGTTCCTTTTGCAGGGCTACATTAGTGATGGTGACATTTCTCAGCTCTGTACTTGATCACAAGATGTATTGGTGACTCAACATGGCTTTTACAGATATCTTTAAAAAATCTTAGGGTATTAGACTTGGTAATTTTATGACTTCACATATAAAGCTCAGCACATCTGTCTCCTCATAGTGGGGAATGTCTGTGCCCTTTATCAGTTCCCTCCTCCCCCAGTGAATATGTTTTGTCTGCTTATAACTAATACTCATCAACTGCCATTAGTACATCTGAAATTTCATAATTATAAAATATGTAATACCACCTATGTTGTTGAATACAATGGCCTCTTAACTGTTATATTAAGTATTTTTTGTTTCATAACTAAATCTCCTTTTAAAAATGTAAACAAATGAATCAGATGTTTTTTTAAACACTCTTAATATCTTTTTTGCACAGTATGATTTTGGGATTTTTGTTTTTATCCTTTAAGAATTTAAAGTAAGGATTTTCATCTATCAACATTTTAAAATTTGAGTTTTTGTCTTTGTGGTTATGGCCCAAATCCTACTCTTGCAGTGAAATCTTCTCTATGTTAGTTCCTGCATAGCTACAAGCTACAGTACTCTACACACATGCTTACCTTATATGGGAATTTCCCTGTCTTCAAGACTCTGCCCTTACATTTGTCATTTACTGCTATTTGTCAGAGTGTGTGGGATATTCACATGTGAGCACAGATACACACAAACACACACACACACACACACACACTTATACACACATATAACTAGTTAAATATGGATAACACTAGTTATCCATATTTCGACTCTATCCACTTATCTTTACATTGGGAATAAGAGATGTTTGTTTCAGCAATGCTTTATTCCTATCCACTAAAATAGATCCTGATATATAATACTTGAGAAACATATTGTTAAAAAAAGTAAGTGAAGGGTCTACTGTTCTCTTAATAAAAATCTTGATGTTTATAGAGTAAATAATTGTACATTTAAATTTCAGGAACAACAAACCATTCTTCCTTCGAGGCATGTAATGCAAGAAGCCATAGAAGATTTTCTCTGCAATTTCCTGATCAAAATGGGAATGACCAGAACTTTGGACTGCTTTCAGGCTGAATGGTAAACCATTATGTAGATAAGTTGTGCTCCAGAAATGCTCCAGCATTTACATGTATAAATTTAACTTCCTTGATGAACTTCTCAGTAGTCAGTGCTTTAGTTTCTTTTCCTATTACTGTGATAAAATACAAAAGCACCTAAAGGAAGAAAAGGCTTATTTGGAGGTTGGTTTATGCTACACTGTGTTATGAGCAGTCCATTGTGATGGGGACATCAAGGCAGCTGTTTACACTGCATCTTCACTCAAGAAGCATGGACCATTGATGCATGCCAGTGGTCAGCTCACCTTCTCTGTCTGTCCAGGATCCCTGGTATAGCAAGATTCTCTCAGACCCACCAGTGATATAAATAAGGACACAGAGACATTTTTAATATTTGAAAGCTTTGATCTTCAACCTAGGGCCATCTCCTAGCTACTCTAATCTTAACCAATCTGATCCTGGCACGACTTCCTGCAGCTCTACCTCTCTGCCCCACACTGGTCTGTTAGTTTTCCTCCATGTCCACTGGCTGAAGCTCTCAGCTCTGTTTCTTCTAGCAGCATCCCTCTCTCTTCCTGGAAGTTCTGCCTTCCACTTCCTGCACAGCTATTGGCAGTCAGGTCTTTAATACAGCCAATCAGGTACAATTCTAGCTTGCCTTAGGCAAGCGAAGAAGAACAAATATTTACAAAATATGAGACTAGATGGGCCATAGACATAACAATACCAAGATCCTACCAGCATTTAGCTGTCTGCAGGTAAAGAATTAAAAACTGAATACACAAAGACACACCTTTACACAAAGTACCCCAATACCCTGCCCAGGTAATGGTTCTGTCTATAATTAAGGTGGATCTTCTTATATGAACAAAATCTAAATAATTCTACACAAGCTTATTCAGAGGCTTATCTCTTAGGTGACTGTAGCCTCTGTCATATTTACAATTAATACCATCATTGTGAACTTATGTATATGGATAGAAATTGTTCCAGTCTCCATGTTGAAACTACATTCTCAACATACAGTTGTCAGGGGATCTTTCCCACAAAGCTTTATTCAACAGCCTTTTCAGTATTCAGCTTTAGCTTCTTCTCAAATGATCAAGGCAATGAGGTGTCCTCTGGAGTTATATAGCAAAAAGTCATTTTTGAAATATTTTCCTCTTGGTTTTACATAATTTATACTGGTATCTTTGTATTTAGATAGTCCCCTGGCACTACTACTTTTTTATTTATAGTGAAAATGATTATTTTCTATTTATACAGCTGACTTATTCTTATTGTAAAAATATTGTTTGATTTTTAAGCAAATTGAATTGAATTTTCAAATACTACTGCAACCTAATGTTGTTAAAACTAAAATCTTTAGTGTCTGATTGATTGTGAAAATCGGCAGGCATGCAATCTTTGTACATATACAATTATTTAATGGTCTTTGGGTTCCTAACATTTTTTTAAAACAACAGTAAATGATAGATAAGAGACAAGTGTTATTTTTACCAGATATTGTGCGTTATAGAAAATATGCTTGCAGAGTTTTGTAGCTAAATTCTAATTTTTTAAAATGTATCAGTGATACAAGTTTACCTTTCATCTTCTTTGTATACTGAGAATATGTACCTAGAACTAATCAGTTTTGTATTTATTTTTACTTTTAATTTTTTGCAAAATTCGTACCATATTGAGACTTCTCTCCTATTTCCTTCATAGCATCTGGATTGCTTCTCAAACTTTCTTACTTTGACGTATAATATAATGCATTTTATGAGGAGAACGGAGTTCTTGCTTGCTCTGTAGCTCATGTTTACCTTCTGTGTGTAGCTCTTTTGTGTTAGCTTTCCAAATACTCATGATTCAGTCGGTGTTGGCTGAATGTGTTTTTACTGTAGAAAAACAAAACGCAAAGGACATAGAATTGTGAATTCATGTTCTCTTGCAAAAGTAGCACACAATACTTGCCTGTTGTTTGGAGAAACAGAAGAAAAAACTTAACAAGAATCTGGGCAGTTAATTTCACTTATGCTCTTTCAATATTCAAACAATAAATTCAGTAAGTCTTTTAAATCCAGTCAGAAAGTGTGATTTGGGAGCCGCATGCCACCTGCTTCTTGTTTTTATAAGTCACATTTTACTGGAATTCATCTATGATTTCTTGTACATATTGGAAATGACTGTATTCATGATGAAAAGCAGATTTTAATTAGTCACAAAGGAGTTAATGTGAATGGCAAAGAAGGCATTTTTATAAGTTATAAATTATTTAGTATTACAGATTTTCCAACAAAAGTCTTCAAATAATTGTGTTGTATGATATGTGCATATATATATATATATATATATATATATATATATATATATATATATAATGTATTTTATATAATGACACATATAGTTGTATATGTGTCAGTGCGGTAGACATTTATTTATGGAGCACTAAAATGCTTCCATTGAAGGTTTGTTCAATGCTAGTTTATGTTCCTTTAGAAATACTCACATCCAAAGGTAATTGATGGTTCAGGGCAAAACTGAAGAGGTTGAAATGAGAAAAGGGCAGTGTATGCCTATAGTTCCTCACCCCTCCCTGTGTGGATCGCTCTGTGTGAACATGTCCCATTGCTCACATGGAGTCTGTCCCATGGACTCGGCTCTTTGTGTCACCGTCACCCTCTGACTCTAGCACAATGCCTTCTCCCGTTACTTTCTCCTTTTCCAATCCTGGGTACTCTTCAGTTTGGCCTCTGTTCCTCTCATTTCATTGATGATAGAGTTGTACTAAAAATTCTGTTGAGGGTATTAAAGACATGAAATTATTTATAGCATTTAATTACTAACTTATTTGTTCCAAATGAAAGAGATTATAAATTAGTATATTCCTTTAATTGATGAGCAAAGACAAATACTGCAACTTTCAACTAATAACATTTGGTGTACTGTAATAACTCTGCTATGGATAATATAGTTACAACTTCCCAGGAATGAGTAGGTTTATTTAAAGTTAAAGCCCAGAATTAAGATTAACTTTGAAGTAATCTCTCGCATTGCTCTCTTTGTGTGTAGACGGGTGTGTAGTGTGATTACACACCTATTCTCAGTGAATACCATGCAGCTCATTATTTCTTCATCATTTAAACCTACTGATGTTTCTTCAGTTGGTGAAGAGTTGATTTCTGGTAATTCATTTCCCCCATCACTGTTAAATTAAGCACAGGAATGTCATGACACTTACCATGCTTACACTTACGATGTCCAGTATGTCAACTTTGAGCAGTTAATTATATGTGGATAGATTTATATACTAAGATATGCAGAATTCAGCCTTTCAGGGGAAGATTTAGATTAAAAAGTTAGTAAAAATAAAAAAATATATACTATTTAAATGTAAGTGGCATAAAATAGTTAAAATGGTGATGTTTTAGACTAATTGCTTGAGAAATCATGTTCTATCATTTTTATTAGCACAGTCTGCTCTTACTTTTCCCATCAGCTGGATGTGGCAGGTAGCTGCTTCATTTCATGGATGAGGGCTTAGAGAGGATGGGAATTCTTTCTCAGTAAATGCCAGCAAGTCACAGCTAGTGGCCGAGTCAGCCAGGCCAGACTGATCTCCAGCACCACTCTCCTAATTTCAATTCCTGGATAGAGCCTGGGAGAGCTTACAGTATGTCCTGGTTAGAGCTCAGATTTGTGTTTGGTTTCCATTTTATAATTACAAGGACACTACTAACTTCTTCATCTTGATGGCCTAGTTTAGCTTTCATCTATTTCAGCACTGAAACCTTTTACAGTGACTTTCGAGTTACCATTTCCAGGGATGTTTCCAAGCTTCTGTCAGTGTGCACTTCTGTTACCATGCACTTCTTCCTTCCTGGGACGTTTTCTTCACACAAGCTCTTGGTCATTGCTTTCATAGTTTCTCTTGCTGCCTCAGCCTTAGATTCTTCTCATAGTGTTTGCCTTCTCCACTCACCCCAATGGTGAAACAGTGGAGCCTATTATGAATCAGTTGCAGGCAATTTTTATTGGTTGGTCACTTGATTACCTGAATTATTATGTTCTTGTGTTACAACTAAAGCAACAGTTATATACAGATGAGGTACGAGTTTGAATTGCCTGCCTTGACTTCTCCCTGAACTTCTGATGTGCCTCTGCAGCATTTATCGTCACATGAATATCTACCAGGCACACTATGTTTGATACAGATGGAAAGAGTCCCTTGGTTTTTCTAACTGCCTGGTTCCTACCGTCTTTGTCTTTGCTTCCACTGTGTAAATGGCTGTGTGTTACTGAGCCCCAGACCTGGACACTATCATTGTTTAGCCTCTTGGTTAACACCTGGCGGATGATTCATTAGTGAATTCTTTTAGCATTACCTTTACAGCAAGTCCAGTAGGTTCACTTCTTAGAACTACTACTGTTTTTCACCTTGTTCAGCTTCTTACCATCTCTCTCTTTCAGATTGTCATGTGTTTTTTGAAATAGATTTGCCCTTTTGAAACATAAATCTGATCACTATATATATATTTTTTAACACCAAGCATGCCCATGGCATCATCCTGATGCAAGGTCAAATAGTTTTCCATATGCTGCTTCCTCGTGTTGGTTCTGACATTTTCCAGCACCTCCTTTGGTCACTCTGCTGGCTTCAGTCCCGCTATTCTACAGATACTGGCTTTGTGCTCCGTCTTGTACATGTGGAACATGTCTTTATCTCTGGGCCTTTGCATTTACTTTCTGTTAGAGGTGCTCAGGTGGTCCTCTTCCACAGACCCACCTGGTGTCATCACTCCTTTCCTCCATGTCTCTCCTGGAGTCTGTCACTCATGCTTGTCAGTCATGTCTAGTCTGTATAAAATGGTACAAACACCCACCGTCTTACTCCTCCGTTTTCTCTGCTTCCCAGAACGTATTACCATCTCTGCACTACTGGAAAGTCCATGAGCATAAGGGCTAAGATAATTTTGATCTCTTTGCTAGGAATTAAATATGTGGAACATAGATGTCACATTGTGTTTTAAAAATCTAGATTCATTGATGTTTCATCTTAATAGTATATTAATATTTGTTTAACTTATAAATGGAATATAGCAACTATTTTCTATCAGATTCTCTAAGGTTGACATTTTGAATTACACACAGTAGGAAACTGAAATAACCTCTGTTGTTTGATTTGTCTTAGGTACGAGCTAATACAGAAGAGAGGAACCGACCTTAGAGCGCTTGGTAATGTTCCTGATGTCTACAGCCAGGTGATGCTTTTAGAAACCGAGAACAAAAACTTGAGGAAAGAATTGAAACACTTCAAACAGGCAGCTGAGTATGTCAATATTACATTTCCTTTTTTTTTATTTAGGCTAAGTAAAAATAAAGATGGATTAAAATGATATGTGTAACCTACTCTGAAAAATTTAATTCTGGGTCACTGAGTTATATGAAGTTCCAGTTGTAAGGATGTGTAAAGCTTCCCAGGTGAGATAATTGGGCAGGCAATGGGAACCGCTGCCAAGCACACCTCCCCGATGGAGTGTGACACAAGGCACGTGTAGCAGATGGTGAACTGTTACACAATGGTTCTTTTCTTATGCTTGTGATCATATTTCGAGGTCTGTGAAATTTTCTCTTGTGTAGGTAAGCTAGTTTCAGAATAATAATGAATTAATAGAAAGAGTGGAAGGAAGGGGCTAATGTGTTCTTTGTAACGGATTTCAGTATTTTACAATCCTTCCCAAGGGACAGTGTTAGCTGAGCTCCTTGGGTGGGAACAAATGAATTGCTCTGGTGGGACAGGCAGGGCACATATAGGGGTGGGAGGGGCATGGGACTTGTAAGGACTGTATAATTAAGTTTTCTGTAACTTTGACGTTTTCTTTTTAGTGACATCCCATTAAAAAGGAAGTTTCAGCATGACAGTCTTTCTTCTACTCTCTGCCACCCACCGATTGCGCTTTTGTTCTCCTAGTGTGCATGCACAACTTTGAAAGAAAAAGTTCACTGCTGTCGCTGTCATATTTACTAGCTTACTTTTCAGTCAAAATAAATAATAACCATTTATTCTGTTATTTTACTTATATTGTTATTAACACAGATTTTATTCTCAAAACTTAAAAGCAGTCCCTGAAAGAGCCTTGCTTGCTTTGTAATATCTAGGCCCAGATGTGAATTTCAACAACTATAAGTCTAAGTTTTCTATTCCTTTTGTCTCCCTAAAATTAAAATAAATTTTGGTGACTAATGTTTGGCAACCAGCCAACCTGTTTCTGAGCAAGGCTGTGTGAGTGTTCTGAGATGAGGAGAGTGTGCGCATGTCAGACAGTGCTTTCAGCTCCAGAGAGAACTCATGCTTTGTTCATTGACCATTTAAAACATTTTGTTTTAAATATTAAACAGATTTAAGAAGAATCTTTCTCTGTTAAGCACATCACCACAATAATTGGAATAATACGGTCACCTTGTGGAAGCATAATATTTTAATATATTACACACACACACACACACACACACACACACTCACTCACTAAAGAAACATGACTCTGTATTACCAAGTGAAAGAAACATTTAATACAGCCTTTCCTTTTAAATAGTAGCAGTAAAATGACATAGTCACGCTCCCTGCATAGTTATCCTGTGTACCTGGAGGAGTGCTCTGCTAGTTACGTACACCTCATCATTTCTATGGAGAATGTCAAGTTTTACAAAGATCTGTGTGATCATCCACAAGAATATGCTGCTAGAATCATTGCTTTCCCAACTTGCTTTCATTTCTCAGAAGGAATTTCCAGGCTGCATCTCTGCTTGCTCTGACTTTCAATAGACAGTTTGGCCAATGGGAATTTGATGCAAGCTTTCCTTACAGGGCTGCCTGGAAGAGTTTCAGCCCTCATTTCCTTTGAGTTATTGCTTTCATTTGCTAATTTGCTTTTGAGTAGACACAGACATTTCAGGCAATGTGTTGAACTCCAGTAGTACTAAGTAACCATTGTTAATTATAGGATATTTATTTAATAGTATATTAAAAACTATAATTAAAATTATGTAAGCTTTTACTCATACAAATTGTTATTTTAGTGTTAAAAGAAGCCATAATTAAAACAGGCAGCACTCAGGTGAAATGTTCCTTTGTATTTGCTGAACTGTCACAGTGTAGTTTACCCTCAGCAGTTTCTGGCTGTTTCTTGACTCTATGTCTTGGTAACATTTACAGTCCAGCAGGTGGAATAGCTACTGGCTATATGCTTTACCTTTCCTTTTGTGCCAATCTGAAAGAAAGCCCTTTGTCCCTTAGAGGATGCTCAGTGCTTGCTGAGTGAATCTGATGTGATTCTGAAGCACCTTTTGTTAAAGTAGTCCCTGGAGCATGTTTCTACTGTGAAATAGTGTCAGAAAATTGTGAATGAAGTTTTTCCAAAGTATTCTCCAGGAACACTTTTCATATATGTTTGGTCCAAAATATAATCTTTTGGAATCTATATTTTCCAAATTCTATTTTTCTAATAGCAATATTTTTCAAATAGCAATTTGTGTTAAACATGAGCTTCTTTTTATGGGATTTGGTTGAAGTAGCCTAATCTTTAGGATTAAGCTATTTCTTAAGGCTTGATAATTATAGATGTAAACTGATATTTAATAGGTAGAGAGAGGCAGCTTTTAGATATGCCATATGGCATCCCTAATCATATAGGTAGCATTTAATGATGCATTGATTAAAGCTGGGGGCTAAGTCTGGCCAAATATACATCTGTAACCTTGTGTGGTGGTGATGCTGGGGAGACAGGAGGATTGCTGCAGCTTCCTTACAGCCAATCTAGTCAGGGGTTCCCATAACTCAAGTAAGGACCAGATCTATGAAGCTAAGTGTAGAGAGAGAAGGACCTCCTCTGGTACTGGTGTGCCACAACATTGCCATGTAATACACATGAGTGAAAGGACATACTGTGCAATAGGAATGGTATAGTTAGTCTTCATTGGCAGCATCAATGGATATAGAATTGTTGCAGACAAGAAAGGATTAACCAATGTAGAACATTGGTACTATGTTGGTATTGGAGAGTGGAGTCCTTGCTGCAGTAAACCTGACCGTGTGGTGGTTAGGCTTTGGAAATCATTTGAAAACCATTGTGAGGAATGTGGAAGACACTGGAGCTGTGGCTCGAAGAAGGCCTAGAATATGATAAGCAGAGATTAATGAGCAATTCTCTTGGGAGCTCGAAAGACTGGCATGCTGCAAGAAATTCAGATTGTGGAGCAAAGCTCGTGAAGTATTCCAGGGAAAGTCTAGTGGGAACTTGCTAGGGTCCATTCATTTTACATGTAGGCAAAGAATCCTGTTGTTTATATCTGAGTCATAAGCTCTTTAGAAACTGAATTCTGAAGTAATGTTTGGTGGAAGAAATCTTTTTTTTTTTTTTTCAGCAGTATTGTAGTTTATTTACCTCTGGAATTACTAATGCATTGCTATTCGTGTATCTTTACATTGGTTTTTAAAGTACTTTTTTTTTCTTTTTTTTTTTTAATTTTTTTATTGGATGTTTTATTTACATTTCATATGTTGTCCCCTTACCCCATCCCCCACCCACCCAGGAACCCCCAATCCCCTCACACCTCCTCCTTCTTCTTTGTGGATGTAACCTCTATCTACCCCCCCACTCCCACCTCCCCACCCTCAAAACTCCCACCCCCTGGGGCGTCCAGCCTTCATGAGGTCAAGGATCTCATCTTCCACCTGTGCCCAGCAGGGCCCTCCACTCTTATATATTCAGCTAAGGCCCTGGATCCCTCCATAAGTGCTCCCAGGCTGGTGGTTTAGACCCTGGGAGCTGTGGTTGGTTGGTCATTTTGGATGTGTTATAGTTACTGCTGTCTGTTCTTAACTCAGGACTGCAGTGCAAGGAACAATTACAATGGTATATAGTTTAATGAGGAAAGTGGTGTGAGTTTACAGTTAAAGGCAAAGTGAATGGTCCACTTGTATATCAGTCTGATATTGTGGCATGACTTTTTCATACAAAGTTCATATTTGAGAACTATGTAACTTAGTTATAATAAAATCTCAATGTTTTAAGGGAGTGTACTTCTTTTCCTGTTGAGTGGTATTCATTTCTGCCCTCTGCTCTCTGCTGTGTTCAGTCCATGGTGAATATAACAGCATCTATAATTGTTAAAGGTGTTATCCTTATCAAAGAGATATCTGTTCTGTACTGGGACAAAAGGAAAGGTACCCTGAAGGCAAGACTTTATCCGACACAGTTCCAGCTTGTGAAAATACAAATCCATTTGAGAGACCCTTAATTAAGAAAGCTGCTAATGGTTTTCCTTTCTTCGAAATAACAACCAAAGAAAAAGTGCTTCCTTAAAATTATCCTTGAAGAAATAAAAGGATGCTTATGAAAAAGGATCCAGGTTACATTTTGATCTGGCATCAGAACTTGAGCACATCATCTACATGGTGTTTCCTGTGCTTGTACTTTTTGTGCTTTTTGATATACACCAAGGGAAGATAGTCAGAGAAGCTTTTACCAAGGTTTCAGACAGTCTTTAAGTCCAGGCAGTGTGTGGCAGAGGTCTATTTCCTGCAATGATGTTCTGAGGATCCATTACATGAAGATTGAAAAATGAATTCCATGTCGCAATGAAGAACCTAGGTTTGTAGAGATACAAGAACTGTTCAGTACCTACCAAGGAAACCTTCAGTCATAGAGTAGATCCAAATGAGAGGTCACTATGCTATAGGTGGCAGTGCTGAAGAGATGGAGCTACAGAAGGCCATGGGGACCCAGATGATTTCATTGAGAGTTCCACATGCCAGACATAGAATTGAAGGATTTGGTGTTTTGCCTACTGGGCATCCTTCTTGCTTTGATCTGGCTTTTCCGATATTCCTATTATTCTCCTTTGGAGTGGGAACGTTTATTATGTACATTGGAAGTCTGTAACTTGATTTTACATGGGTTCACAGTTAAAAGATTGTCTTGAGCTTCAGAGAGGAGTTTAGAGATTGCATTTTAAACAACATTGAGACTGCTATAAGTCGTGAGAACATTTAGAGATGTACTAAATTAACTTCGCATTATATGATGAAAATAAGACTTTAGGGACCAGAGGTAGAGTGTGCCAATCTAAACTGATGAACTCTTGTGTCAGGCTGACGAGAGGGTGCAGTTGTGGTGGTTCACCTTCATTGCCAACTTTAGTGGGTTTAGAATTATGATGGAGTCACACACCTATGTATTTCTTTAATCCAAAAATGTTTAATGGAAGAGAGAACATCTTGCCAAAGGTTACGTAGCAATGTTCCATGAGATAGGATCCTGAACTGAATGA